TGTGTTGTGCTGCTGGCGTGCCTCTCTAGTGAGTTTACTGCCTGCTCTCTGTCACACCACCACTGTCTATGGTAGCTAACCCCGCTCATGATTTACTGTTGATAGTATCTAGTGTAATATCGAAAATGAAAGCCGTATAGTTGGCATGATTGTTGTGGTAGTTGATGGTGATGCTAGAGGCGTTGCGTTGTTTAGATAATAGTATGGTAGAGAGTCTAAGTAATGGTATTTATAATGAGTAGTTAGCGCCCGACAAACAAAAAGACTTAAAAGATTGACCCCCGAATTATGCGTACAGATCTGCGCTAGTAGTAACAAATTTGTGGTATTATGGATTAATTATTGCGGGAAGTTCTGTGCATCTCTTCTACCGACAAGGCCTTCAGATAAATCCAGAATGAGTTAAAAGACCATCACGTTTCAAGATCAACTAAGCTAACAAATAGGTAAAAAATAAACATATGAAGAAACAAGGTCAGCGTAAGTTTAAGGCTTAGGTTCCCGCTCCTAACAGTGGAATAGGTTGAGACTGTTGATACTGTCTCGTTAGAGAAGGTTTCGTGGGGGACACTGCAGTTATTTGGCTTCCTTGTCCCAGTTCCCGGCTATGGCCTCAGACGTCTCCACTAAAACAACCTTTGAGCTAAATTAGGTGCGGAATCTAGAGCTTCCAATTTCCCGTCGACGGCTTTCACTAGTTTCCCCAGCAAGGGACTGGCTCAAGGGAACGCTGTACCCGTCCCATGAGTTCCCACAACGAACAAAATGTGGTGTACTAAAATGCGCGATCTCAAGCCACAGACCTAACAGACCCATGAATAGAAAACGTGGTTATGAGCGAGGTGGGGAGAGAGCCCTGGAAACACAAACCGCAACTGACCCTATTTTCCGCTTGTTACAACTAGCATTAAAGTTGTTAAATCTTGGCTTAACGTGTTTTTGACGTATTAGAACGTTGTTACAACTTGTTATATTGGTTGTTATAACTTGTTAGGTGTTAAATTTTGTTCGAACATTGTAGCAACGTCGTAGTTTCGCTGTGTGTTTGGCGGGAGGGAGCTGGTGGTGGTGGGGAGAGAGGGAGCTGGTGGTGGTGGTGGTGGGGAGAGAGGGAGCTGGTGGTGGTGGTGGTGGAGAGAGGGAGCTGGTGGTGGTGAGAGAGGGAGCTGCTGGTGGTGGTGGGGAGAGAGGGAGCTGCTGGTGGTGGTGGGGAGAGAGGGAGCTGGTGGTGGTGGTGGTGGTGAGAGAGGGAGCTGGTGGTGGTGGGGAGAGAGGGAGCTGGTGGTGGTGGTGGTGGTGGAGAGAGGGAGCTGGTGGTGGTGGTGGGGAGAGAGGGAGCTGGTGGTGGTGAAGAGAGGGAGCTGGTGGTGGTGGTGGTGAGAGAGGGAGCTGGTGGTGGTGGTGGTGGAGAGAGGGAGCTGGTGGTGGTGGTGGGGAGAGAGGGAGCTGGTGGTGGTGGGGAGAGAGGGAGCTGGTGGTGGTGGTGGGGAGAGAGGGGAGCTGGTGGTGGTGGTGGTGAAGAGAGGGAGCTGCTGGTGGTGAGAGAGGGAGCTGCTGGTGGTGGTGGGGAGAGAGGGAGCTGCTGGTGGTGGTGGGGAGAGAGGGAGCTGCTGGTGGTGGTGGGGAGAGAGGGAGCTGGTGGTGGTGGTGGTGGTGAGAGAGGGAGCTGGTGGTGGTGGTGGTGGGGAGAGAGGGAGCTGGTGGTGGTGGTGGTGGGGAGAGAGGGAGCTGGTGGTGGTGGTGGTGGGGAGAGAGGGAGCTGGTGGTGGTGGTGGTGGGGAGAGAGGGAGCTGGTGGTGGTGGTGGTGGGGAGAGAGGGAGCTGGTGGTGGTGGTGGTGGTGGTGGGGAGAGAGGGAGCTGGTGGTGGTGGGGAGAGAGGGAGCTGGTGGTGGTGGTGGTGGGGAGAGAGGGAGCTGGTGGTGGTGGTAGTGGGGAGAGAGGGAGCTGGTGGTGGTGGTGGTGGGGAGAGAGGGAGCTTGCAGTAGAGGAAAACCTCAATGGGTGATATAGCGAGAAGGGTGATTAAGAAGCTTGTGTCGGAAGGGGGGAAAGAGAGTTTTCCCAAATGGTAATTGATATTGGAATAGTGGCAGCAGAGAAAGATTAGAGCACTGAACTCTACACACACCGGTGTTTGTATAGTTAGTTATGTTTACTTCTGCTATCATAAACACTCACACAATACACACCCACATTCAGTATGCGCAACACATCAAGGCCTGTGAGTGAGTTATTACGTTGACAAAATAAATGATATTTTGAGTGATAGCAATATAATCATATCATTCAAAAACTTTACTCATAAATGGTTGTACGTTTATAATTGAGAAAGTTTACATAAAAATTACTGGGGATTAATTACGTCACAATAACAGCATAATACGTAGACATTGTCATTATCAGAATCAGATACTTTATTCTTAACAACTTAAACAAATTATTACAGTCATAATCGCTGGACTCAACAGGTGAACAGCAATCTAAATCCAACACATTTTGGCATAGTGTGAGTGACATTTAGTTCATTTGAAAGGTAATATATATTGTAAAAAGCAAAGTGTGGAACGAAAAGACAGACATTGACACAATTTATGTAACCAATCTAGTCCAGAAAAGGACTAGACAACTACATTCAACCTATAATATTTGCTAATAATTTTACCTTTATTTGGTCTAGCTGCATCCCACGCGGACTAAACAATACAGTGAACTAGATGGGGGAGGTACCCGGCTGTGTACGGGTCTCTTCCCCTCCCCACCCCCACCTCTTCCCCTCTCTTCTTCTGTTTCCCCTCTTTTCACTAATTCTCACCTTCCCCTGTCCATCTTTCTCCCCTCTCCACCCTCTCTCCCAATCTCCTCCTTTTTCTCATCTCTCTTTCCCTATCCTGCCACCTTCCCCCTCGCCACCATTCCCCCCCCCACTCTCCCAACATTCCCCTCTTCCCTCTTTCCCCCTGTCTACCTTTCTCCCTCCCTTCCCCTACGTTCCCCTCTCCTCTCTTAATACTAACCCTAGTGTGAAACTCTTCCTAGATGGGTGTAATAGAACCATTGAATTTCATACGAAATTCAAGAGTTGTAAGTATATCTTTAATATTTCCAGAGCCCGATTAAATCTATGCACACACGCTAGACAATTGAAGGAACTTACGCTACGAAACTCCCATCATGAAGTAAAAATTACTGAACCTATACTTTGTTCAAAAGTAAAACAAAATGTTCTCCCCCCCCCCCTCCATTGTACTTTTAAAATACAATGCCATCAATATAATTTCCCATTATCACCATCTTCCTTTCTTAACAATGATACAGGCGCTATTCATTAACTGACTGTAACTACGTAATTTCAAATTAAGGCAATTTCTCAATGTTTACCTTAGTCAAAAGTTGCATTTCTTTATTAGAGATAAATTGTTCGCTTTGTAACTTACAAATTACTGCAAATATATAATGTAAACATTAATTTGTTATTATCTTTAAGTCTTGCCTGAATCTCTATGCGTGTTAGTGGCTTTGCCGAGAATGTGTACTAAATTACCAAAATCTGTAATGAAATAAGCCATTGTAACTTCTAAGAATACAAATTCTTAATTCAGCTGTATTGGTTGACCCTTCAACTGTTACATCAATAAATGAGGGCAGAGATGCATGTCATGATGAATTGTGTCACCGTCTTCCAGCGACGGTGTTGGCCACCGAGACGTGTTCGCTGTAATACGGTTGCTCATTGTCTCAGTGGTCAACACCGTCTTCCAGCGACGGTCTTGGCCACCCAGACATGTTCGCTGTAATACGGTTGCTCATTGTCTCAGTGGTCAACACCGTCTTCCAGCGACGGTCTTGGCCACCCAGACATGTTCGCTGTAATACGGTTGCTCATTGTCTCAGTGGTCAACACCGTCTTCCAGCGACGGTCTTGGCCACCCAGACATGTTCGCTGTAATACGGTTGCTCATTGTCTCAGTGGTCAACACCGTCTTCCAGCGACGGTCTTGGCCACCCAGACATGTTCGCTGTAATACGGTTGCTCATTGTCTCAGTGGTCAACACCGTCGCTGGTGTACTGGGAGAGAGAACAGTCTTACTCAGGACACACGTCACAACTGTCTTGGAGGGCTTCCCTGCAAAAGAGGATTTTATTAATCCTGTTAGGTTACAGTCTGCGGCGGCCTTTTATGTATCTGGCAGTATGCATTTATATACAACTTTTATATACATGAGTAAGTGTACATGCAGCTTTTTGTGTATGTGTGTATATATATGAATTCATCAGCTCATCCTCCTGTTTTGGTAGTACTTATAGTAACGATAAGGAGCACAGTATATATACCGACGTACAACAAAATTACAAAGTAGAAATCTGAACTATTGAGTTGGACAAACTGGAAAACTATTTTTTACTTGCGTTGCTTTGACAAACTAAACTAAACCTAACCTTCCTAGGTCTATTACGCGATATTTGAGGCTTAACATAGTATATATATGTGTGCTTTACTCACCCTAGGAATATATGTTTGCTTTTTAGCTTCATTTATTTTCAAAGAATTTCTTACTAGTCAGTGTACTACTATTTAATAGCTAAGTACATAAGAATTCGTGACTATTGACGACAGTCACAATAGGTACTATCTAAACAGGAGGATGGGGTTGGAATTTATGTACTTACTAGTTTATGCCGGTATATACGTATGTATATCTTCTGCGTATGTATATCTTCAGCGTATGTATATATTAGAGTTGCCAAGTTTTTACGCAGTGTAAGCTAAGAACTCTCCATCACACAACTCGGTGCTGGGACGCTAAACTCTCTCCCTATAATTAATAAGAAATTCTGCATATTTAACACCTAGCACTAGTCAAATATATAATTTTTCATGGCTAACGCCAAAGTTAATATCTCATCCAACACCATATTATTTACCAGTTTCATAGACAGAAAAGATTTCGTCTAAGGTATTACTCGATATAAGTATTCGAATTCATAATTCGATTCAAGTGTTCGAATTCCAGAATAGTGGCGAATCTTCAGAGTTACACGCGGCACAGTTAACTGTTTCCTCCTCTGCTATCCCAGGTTGCTGCTGGTGTTCGGTGCAAGTGTTCGAGTTCGAAGCCAGCGGGAAATCTTCAGAGTTTCACGCGGTACAGTTAACTGTTTCCTCCTCTGCCATGCCAGGTTGCTGCTGGTGTTCGGTGCAAGTGTTCGAGTTCCAAGCTAGCGGGGAGCAGTCAGACAGCCACCTGCGGTACAGGGACAAGTTATCCTTCGCGCCCCTCGACTCTCTCTCCTTCTGCGTGAGGCTCAGATTCTACTTCCTGTGGGAAGTGTCCGGATTCCTCCAGGTCTCCGACAACTCCACTGGTCAGCTGATACACACCATACAGGCAGGTGAGTGACGGGAGTGTTCGCTGTCCTCGACAACTGTCCTGTCCTCGACGACTGTCCTGTCCTCGACAACTGTCCTGCCCTCGACAACTGTCCTGCCCTCGACAACTGTCCTGCCCTCGACAGCTGTATGCTGTCCTCGACCACTGCCTTTGACAGCTGTAAACTGTCACTAACAACGGCACGCTGTCCTCGACAGCTGTGCACTGTCCTCGACAGCTGTGCACTGTCCTCGACAACTAAACACTGTCCTAGACTATTGTACTGTGTCCTCGACGACTGTTCTCGATAATTATACACTGACGAGTTTTATGTAAACATTGATTGTTGCCAGTGGACAGATGAGTGTTGGTTGATCACTGACATGTGTTACTTACACACTGTTATTGTACACTGATGAGTTTTATTCATGCCTTCCTTAGCGGTACCTATACACTGGTGTGTGTTGCTGGTACTCTGATGAGTATTACTTGTGCACCAATTACCTGCGTTAATGCACAGATAGCACAGGTAGAGTGCTACCTGTGCATTAGCTGTCAATTATATTATATATATATTTACCACAATTAAACCGACTTAGTACTTTTTAAAGTGTAAAACAAAATCAGACATTATTAGGAAGAGGAAATGGATAATTGAATTTAAGTAAGAAATAACATATACAAATTTAAAATTAATATTTATATACCGTACATTAAAGTTTTACTAGTGTCACTGTTCCATCAGATGAGAAGAGAAGAGGGACAGAAGTGAGTGAGTCTTAGCTTACTGAGGAAGTCTTAACTTCCAGAAGGAGTCTTAGCTTACTGAGGAAGTCTTACTTACCTTCCTGAAGGAGTTTCAGCTTACTGGGGAAGTCTTAACTTCCAGAAGGAGTCTTAGCTTACTGAGGAAGTCTTACTTACCTTCCTGAAGGAGTTTCAGCTTACTGAGGAAGTCTTAACTTCCAGAAGGAGTTTTAGCTTACTGAGGATGTCTTACTTACGTTCCAGAAGGAGTCTTAGCTTACTGAGGATGTCTTACTTACGTTCCAGAAGGAGTCTTAGCTTACTGAGGATGTCTTACTTACGTTCCAGAAGGAGTCTTAACTTACTGAGGATGTCTTACTTACGTTCCAGAAGGAGTCTTAGCTTACTGAGGATGTCTTACTTACCTTCCAGAAGGAGTCTTAGCTTACTGAGGATGTCTTACTTACGTTCCAGAAGGAGTCTTAGCTTACTGAGGATGTCTTACTTACCTTCCAGAAGGAGTCTTAGCTTACTGAGGATGTCTTACTTACGTTCCAGAAGGAGTCTTAGCTTACTGAGGATGTCTTACTTACGTTCCAGAAGGAGTCTTAGCTTACTGAGGATGTCTTACTTACCTTCCAGAAGGAGTCTTAGCTTACTGAGGATGTCTTACTTACCTTCCAGAAGGAGTCTTAGCTTACTGAGGATGTCTTACTTACGTTCCAGAAGGAGTCTTAGCTTACTGAGGATGTCTTACTTACCTTCCAGAAGGAGTCTTAGCTTACTGAGGATGTCTTACTTACGTTCCAGAAGGAGTCTTAGCTTACTGAGGATGTCTTACTTACGTTCCAGAAGGAGTCTTAGCTTACTGAGGATGTCTTACTTACGTTCCAGAAGGAGTCTTAGCTTACTGAGGATGTCTTACTTACGTTCCAGAAGGAGTCTTAGCTTACTGAGGATGTCTTACTTACGTTCCAGAAGGAGTCTTAGCTTACTGAGGATGTCTTACTTACCTTCCAGAAGGAGTCTTAGCTTGGAGTCTTGTGTGACTCCCACACACTCATTTGCTAGCACAAGCGTCTGTTTAGCATATGAACCAGAAGAACGTTTAAAACTCCTCGGCATATATTACAAGTGATCCTTCAACAGTGACTGCTTCGTTACACATCTGAAATGTCAGAGAAGAATTTATTATACACAAAAAATACCCCTATCAGGACTGAGGTCCCGGTAGGAGAAATATACTGTTCTGAGACCAGAAATATAAGGCGAAAAACATTGCTTACAAATCATATGAAATTTGTATTATTTCTTCAAGGTAAATAGTGTCATAAATTTATGTCAATTTGTTTTTATTTTCTCAAACCTCATCGTTCTCATCATAGACCATTGTTTGGTATGAATGCAAACGACATATATAAAAAATGTGTAGCATTGGCACAAGTATTATTAGGAAATGGCAGATAACTAGATTGTTCACGTTTTCTCTAGAGGTCAACTTGAACTACATTCGAGTGACTCTGTCCAAGTTACGTCGCTACCATTTCTTGAGGCAGCAGCTGAGGGCACTCACTTGGCACCATGTCTGTGTCACTTACGGTCATGGGGTCACCATCTCGTACCTGGACGGCATAGAACAGGATCGTCAACATGGCTTCCTTGGGGAACCCGTCATAGCAACTCATATCAAAATTGGTTCCTGGGATGCTGGAAATAACTACAGTGGTCAGCTGTCCCAAGTAAGGGATAAGGTTTGGATTCAACTCAGTTTTTCACATATGACATTCCATTAGTATATACAATCATGCCACTCTTGACAAGGTTAACTTACACTTGGATTTTTCAGGTCAATATATGGAGTCGTGTTTTGACAGTCGAAGAAGTGAATGCTCTGGCTGATTGTACTATGGAGGAGGAAGAAGGAGACATCTTGCCTTGGAGCGGCCCTTGGACGAGTATTGGAGACATATCATTATACCAAGTAGCCTTAGATGACCTTTGTAAGGAAGCTTCAGGTACAGATTACTTTATCTTCAATTATATCACAGCTCATTCTGCCTTTCAAGTGTGTAAAGGTCTCGGTGGATCTGTGCCAACCCCTCAGGTTGAAGAAGAATACAACACAATAATGAAAGCTGTCAATCAGTACCACGGAGAAGACTTTTCATGCAAGTCCTTCTGGGTGGGAATTTCAGATGAACAGGAAGAGGGGGTGTGGGTGGATATCCAGCACCAAGCACAAATTCACCCCTCGTGGTCTATGGGTGAACCTGATGGGGACAAGTTAGAGAACTGTGCAGTAGCTGAAGGTAGCCAGCAGTTTGCTGACACTCGCTGTGATGAACTGAAGTGTGTAGTGTGTGGTGTACCGCGACGGCCAGTGTGGACACTCCTTGGTTCTTGTGAGAGATATCAACGTAATATACATTTAGTCACTCTGCAGGGTAACTCAAGCAGGTTAATGTTTCAAGGTTACTCTGATTATAGAATAGTGCAGAGCGAAGACAAAAGTACTTGGCACTGGAAAAATTGGCGCAGGAATCATACAGTTGCTACCTTGTCCAATGCTGTTAATGATGTTCCGCTTGGCCGTCAGAACTGGACTCTGAAGAAGGCAATGTGTGGCCAGACAGTGGGCGAGACTCGACGCCTTCTGTTGACTCCCTGCCCCAGAGATCACTTCTCTTGTGATGATGCCTCGTGCATCCCCCTCAACCAGCGATGTGATCTTAAACTTGACTGCCAGGACAAGAGTGACGAGAATGGCTGCCAGCTGGTCAAGTTTCCCCCGGTGTATCGACCAGACGTGCCTCCAGAAATCAACAACAACAACAACCTGTCCCAACCTCTGCCCATCGCTCTGCACATCATCATTGAGAGTGTCGACGTGGACACGTCCTCCATGCACATGCACGTCAACTTCATCATCAGCATGACGTGGCAGGAGGCCAGACTCAGCTACCTCAACCTCAATGAAGACTATACACTCAACAGGTGAAATGTGTAGTTTAATTCTTTATTATTTTCTCACTCTTTTACTCATATTCAAGGCCATCCTCCTAAAATTATAAACTATTTGGTCGAAAGCACTTTTGGTCCTCCTAAAACTATTTGGTCGAAAGCACTTTTGGTCCTCCTAAAACTATTTGGTCGAAAGCACTTTTGGTCCTCCTAAAACTATTTGGTCGAAAGCACTAATGTGTAGTGACCAATAAACCCCTTTTTGTACTTTTCATTTAATATAGTCCAAAAAATAAACCTAAAAAAACAAACTGAAAAATCCCTAGGGGTCTAATATAGCACATATTTGTACTATATTAGGCCTAAGTGTATTAGCCCTAGGATTTCTAGATGTTACGTTAGATCTTCATATTTATGTTGCGGTAAAAAAAAGTTTCTAGTTTGCCCAAAATCAGTAATACGAAAGTCAACTTTATGGTGGTCCGTAACTACATATATATTGGTACTGTGGACCAAATAGTTACTACAAGTACATTAATTTTAGGAAGATGGGCTGGAACACAACGTAGCGCAACGCCAAAAAGCGAGAACATGATAAGGATCTCGAGTTTCAGTAATTCCCGCAGTTTAATTTCTTCTATTGATTTGTCTCTCAATCTGCCATTCATATTTAATTTTACAAATTATAGAATTTATTCACACAATTAACATATATTATGCAGTTCATATTCTTATATTCCGCATTTCCATTAATTCCCATTTCCTTCCTACTCACTCCCGTCTCCATTTTCTGCATATCAAATTCCAGATTCCCAGAAATCCTATAGCAATATATTTTTAGAGTTTATATTATTTAATAATCTTATTAGATCAGAACTATTCAAAACAGCTTGTAATTAATATCGCCACTTTGTTACTTTAGCCTTAAATGGAATCCAAATAATTTACTTACAAATAATAATAACAATTAATTTTGATTTCCATTTATCAACACATAATTACCTCTTAAAATATTATAGAAAATTTCGACTAAATTTCTTGACAGTCGCGTTTTTTTACGTTATAGTAACCACCGTTGCAAATGCATCCTACTATGAAAGATAACGGCTCACAAATATCTTACGTTTTCTATAAAGGGGAAACGCGATACGTTAAGTGGGTTGCTTGGGTTCGTTCCTGGGTGGGAGGCTGGATTTTGTACAGTGGCAAATGAAGAAAATGGGTTGATATGTGTGTGTGTGGGTTTGTGTGCCGCCAGAGTGCCGTATGATACTATGCAGCAGGTGTGGGTGCCCGTGGTGGACTTCACCAACACTAAGGGCAACCACATCACCCAGGCCGACAACCAGGCCACCATGGTGGTCAACATGCAGGGTAAACCCAGTCTTGGCGACGACACGCAACCTGAAGAATGTAAGGCAACCATGAGTGTAGCTGCTGTAGCTGTGTCAACCTTGAGTGTAGCTGCTGTAGCTGTGTCAACCTTGAGTGTAGCTGCTGTAGCTGTATCAACCATGAGTGTAGCTGCTGTAGCTGTATCAACCCTGAGTGTAGCTGCTGTAGCTGTATATTAACTCGCTGAACATCATCATGCCGTGCAAAATATCAAATTATAAATTACTTTCTTCTGGACAGATTTATTGTGACATTCTTACATTGTAGAATATTTCTGTAACTCTTCTGTTGACCGAACTAATAATAATACACTTTAAATATGTTAGAAATCAACTAAACTTAGAAATGAGGAAGAATGCGGCTGTAATTATTCTAGCTGTCGATAGGCTTAATACTTAAGGAGTAAGGGAACACCGATTAATCTTCAAGATACGCCAAGACTTGGCCTTGAATATCTCCCTTGATCCCTGGGATTTCGGGACTCAACGTCCCCGCGGCCCAGTCCTCGACCAGGCCTCCTGGTTGCTGGACTGGTTAACCCGGCTGTTGGACGCGGCTGCTCGCAGCCTGACGTATGATTCACAACCTGGTTGATCAGGTACCCTTTGGAGGTGTTTATGCAGTTCTCTCTTGAACACTGTGAGGGGTCGGCCAGTTATGCCCGTTATGTGTAGTGGAAGCGTGTTGAACAGTCTCTGGCCTCTGATGTTGATAAGAGTTCTCTCTCAGAGTATCTATTGCATCTCTTGCTTTTCAACGGGGGTAATTCTGAAATTTCCAATAAAAAATTTCCAATAAATTTAGCTGTTCCTGGCCAGTAATATAAATTCGGTCATTCCAGTTAGGACAGGATTGAGCCACCCAAACAGGGTAATTAATAATTAAATCTTTTCTAATAAATTATAATAATATCCCTTGATTTAGCCAATGATATGTTGGTTACGATCATTACTGTGTGCCCTCCATTTGACAGGTGAAATTGAATTGGAAGAATAAATAGCAGTAACTACCTGGTACAATACGTGACATGTGATTACACTAGTATCACCTACAAGGAGAATTAGTCTGATCATCCGTGTTCATATCTGGTTGACCAAGCTATAGACAGCTATACAAATAAGCTGTATTTGTTTAATTTAATTCACTAACCCATGTAGTCTTAACACCTAATAACATTGTAGTGAATGTCTACCAATCGATTAATTTCGATTCATAAACTATAAATAATAAACCCCCAGCTTGTGAAGGAAACGATTTGTGGGCATTTAATTCATACAATCCGCTATCTAAATAAATTAACTTAATAAATTAATATATTTTAAATCACTCAATAAATCCCACAAGTCAGTTTTCTCCACACCTGCCATATTTACACAGCAGAAGTAACTGTTACTTCTTGATATGCATCATAAGAAAATATATGTATACTGTACTGTATACGACTTCCAAAGAAAAATTTGATTTGTTAAAAGGATGGCAAAATTCTTAATAAAATCTAAATTTTTACATTATTCTGGACTACCATGCTTCACATTATTTCATTCATAATGGCATTTACATAAATGTTAGTTTGTTCATGATCCTTTAGGCCATTGAAAGGTGATTTATTGTTTCTTTGTGTCCCCGATGTCATGATTTTATATTGTAATGTCACATTTGGTATTATGTAATTTCAAACCTCTAACACGTTTTGTATCCTCCACTGTAATTTGCTTACAGTGGAGGTGTATTCTGGTCCAGAAAACCCCATAAGTGTAAGGAGGAAATACAGCATAACCTTCCAGTGTCAGTTTGACCTCAAGATGTACCCATTCGACGAACAGGTGAGCCATCTTCTTCCCAAAGAAAATCAAACCTTCAATTTTCTGGTTTATCATCAGTTATATATTATATATATATATATATATATATATATATATATATATATATATATATATATATATATATATATATATATATATATATATATATATATTGATATACAGGGTAATATGTATGTCATGTCATTAAGACAGATCGGTCTTTTCCCCAGTAGTTCTGCCACCTAGAGCTGACCTTGCTGTCAGCCTCGTCCAGGTTGCTGGTGTTTGACGAGGCTACCACCCGCGCACTCTTCCAGGGCAACCCTCAGCTGGTTGAGTACTTTGTTGGTGATGTTGACATTGATTTTCACAACGACAGGGACTTTGCTGCCATGTTTGTCAAGTGTGAGTTAGTTAATTTGTAGATTTTATTATACTTAATCAGCGACTTGGAAATTTCACAAAAAAAGACAGTTTTGCAAAGTACAATGGTTTCATATGTTTGATGTTTCATATTAATGGTATGTGGCTAGCTTCCTTCTTATATGCATATTCTAAGTCTCATTTTACTAATCATTTCTGCAGGTGAAGTGGCATTTTTGAATTTCAATATGGTGTCAACATGCAACTAATACCAATCCTTCAGTACACTATAATACCTGTATATATATATATATATATATATATATATATATATATATATATATATATATATATATATATATATATATATATATATATTATATATATTATATATATATATCTATATATATATATGTCGTACCTAGTAGCCAGAACGCACTTCTTGGCCTACTATGCAAGGCCCGTTTTGCCCAATAAGCCAAGTTTTCCTGAATTAATATATTTTCTCTAATTTTTTTTTATGAAATGATAAAGCTATCCATTTGATTACGTATGAGGTCAATTTTTATTATTGGAGTTAAAATTAACGTAGATATATGACCGAACCTAACCAACCCTACCTAACCTAACCTAACCTATCTTTATAGGTTAGGTTTGGTTAGGTAGCCGAAAAAGTTAGGTTAGGTTAGGTTAGGTAGGTTAGGTAGTCGAAAAACAATTAATTCATGAAAACTTGGCTTATTAGGCAAATCGGGCCTTGCATAGTAGGCTGAGAAGTGAGTTCTGGCTACTAGGTACGATATATATATATATATATATATTAGTATATTTTGGTAGCAGTCTTTCCTGTAGACATATTTTATTAAATATGACCGAAAAAGTAAGATTAATAATTCTAACACGAATTTTCTCAATCTTTCGTACATTATGCTTCACTATTGGAGGTAAATCAAAAATCACTTCTCCAAAATTCATTTTTATTTCTAGTCTGACGCGACACGGGCGCGTTTCGTAAAACTTATTACATTTTCAAAGACTTCACAAATACACAACTGATTAGAACTTGCGTTCCCTGGTTTTATATCTACATTTGAGTGAGGTGGGAAGGGTGATGTGGCATTACATTTGAGTAAGGTGGGAAGGATGATGTGGCATTAGAGGATATTAATAGGGTATTAAAAGTATCAACACAAGACAGAACACGAAACAATGGATATTGAATAGAAGTGTTTGTAGAAAGCCTATTGGTCCATATTTCTTGATGCTTCTATATTGGAGCGGAGTCTTGAGGTGGGTAGAATATAGTTGTGCAATAATTGGCTGTTGATTGCTGGTGTTGACTTCTTGATGTGTAGTGCCTCGCAAACGTCGAGCCGCCTGCTATCGCTGTATCTATCGATGATTTCTGTGTTGTTTACTAGGATTTCTCTGGCGATGGTTTGGTTATGGGAAGAGATTATATGTTCCTTAATGGAGCCCTGTTGTTTATGCATCGTTAAACGCCTAGAAAGAGATGTTGTTGTCTTGCCTATATACTGGGTTTTTTGGAGCTTACAGTCCCCAAGTGGGCATTTGAAGGCATAGACGACGTTAGTCTCTTTTAAAGCGTTCTGTTTCGTGTCTGGAGAGTTTCTCATGAGTAGGCTGGCCGTTTTTCTGGTTTTATAGTAAATCGTCAGTTGTATCCTCTGATTTTTGTCTGTAGGGATAACGTTTCTATTAACAATATCTTTCAGGACCCTTTCCTCTGTTTTATGAGCTGTGGAAAAGAAGTTCCTGTAAAATAGTCTAATAGGGGGTATAGGTGTTGTGTTAGTTGTCTCTTCGGAGGTTGCATGGCTTTTCACTTTCCTTCTTATGATGTCTTCGATGAAACCATTGGAGAAGCCGTTATTGACTAGAACCTGCCTTACCCTACAGAGTTCTTCGTCGACTTGCTTCCATTCTGAGCTGTGGCTGAGAGCACGGTCGACGTATGCGTTAACAACACTCCTCTTGTACCTGTCAGGGCAGTCGCTGTTGGCATTTAGGCACATACCTATACCCCCTATTAGACTATTTTACAGGAACTTCTTTTCCACAGCTCATAAAACAGAGGAAAGGGTCCTGAAAGATATTGTTAATAGAAACGTTATCCCTACAGACAAAAATCAGAGGATACAACTGACGATTTACTATAAAACCAGAAAAACGGCCAGCCTACTCATGAGAAACTCTCCAGACACGAAACAGAACGCTTTAAAAGAGACTAACGTCGTCTATGCCTTCAAATGCCCACTTGGGGACTGTAAGCTCCAAAAAACCCAGTATATAGGCAAGACAACAACATCTCTTTCTAGGCGTTTAACGATGCATAAACAACAGGGCTCCATTAAGGAACATATAATCTCTTCCCATAACCAAACCATCGCCAGAGAAATCCTAGTAAACAACACAGAAATCATCGATAGATACAGCGATAGCAGGCGGCTCGACGTTTGCGAGGCACTACACATCAAGAAGTCAACACCAGCAATCAACAGCCAATTATTGCACAACTATATTCTACCCACCTCAAGACTCCGCTCCAATATAGAAGCATCAAGAAATATGGACCAATAGGCTTTCTACAAACACTTCTATTCAATATCCATTGTTTCGTGTTCTGTCTTGTGTTGATACTTTTAATACCCTATTAATATCCTCTAATGCCACATCATCCTTCCCACCTTACTCAAATGTAATGCCACATCACCCTTCCCACCTCACTCAAATGTAGATATAAAACCAGGGAACGCAAGTTCTAATCAGTTGTGTATTTGTGAAGTCTTTGAAAATGTAATAAGTTTTACGAAACGCGCCCGTGTCGCGTCAGACTAGAAATAAAAATGAATTTTGGAGAAGTGATTTTTGATTTACCTCCAATAGTGAAGCATAATGTACGAAAGATTGAGAAAATTCGTGTTAGAATTATTAATCTTACTTTTTCGGTCATATTTAATAAAATATATATATATATATATATATATATATATATATATATATATATATATATATATATATATATATATATGTCGTACCTAATAGCCAGAACGCACTTCTCAGCCTACTATTCAAGGCCCGATTTGCCTAATAAGCCAAGTTTTCATGAATTAATGTTTTTTCGTCTACCTAACCTACCTAACCTAACCTAACCTAGCTTTTTTTGGCTACCTAACCTAACCTTACCTATAAATATAGGTTAGGTTAGGTTAGGTAGGGTTGGTTAGGTTCGGTCATATATCTACGTTAATTTTAACTCCAATAAAAAAAAATTGACCTCATACATAGAGAAAAGGGTAGCTTTATCATTTGATAAGAAAAAAATTATAGTAAATATATTATTTCAGGAAAACTTGGCTTATTAGGCAAATCGGGCCTTGAATAGTAGGCTGAGAAGTGAGTTCTGGCTACTAGGTACGACATATATATATATATATATATATATATATATATATATATATATATATATATATATATATATATATATATATATATTGCTATTTCGTCACTAATTATCTTACCATAAGTGATATTTTAACTCGTGTTAACAAAAACAACTTCAAAATTAATTTTTTAAGAATTATTTTTAGCTTTCCTAACTATTATCTTATTAAATTCAGCTTTATAACAAATCAACATGATGTTGCTTCCACCCTAAGACTGTACACTCTTCATAACATTGTACACCATTCAGGAGCAAATACTTGCAGCAGATTTTTATTTAGACATGTTTCACATGTTTCATTGAATATGACTGCACATTCTGTGTTGATTATTTTCTTGTTTAGGGTTTCTATCCCTCTGACTAGTGCTCTTGCATCTTGGTTTAATTGGAAGAGGATTTCTCCTCTTCCCCAACAGTGCAGCTGCTGCGACGGTCGGGGTTCATCATCATGAACGTGTACATCCCGTCACTGTGTCTGCTGATCATCAGTTATCTCACTCTCTACTTCACGCCAACCAACTTCCAGGTCCGCATCCTCGCCTCGCTCACCTCCCTCCTCGTCGTAGCTACACTTTACACTCAGGTCAGAAACTGGAGCTTATATATTGCAGTCATAAAGGGAGGGCCCATTAGGTTTTTGGGTGTTTCACTTGGATAAGTTTGCAAAGAAATTTGAATAAGCAATAGAGTAAATAAAAAAAATCATGTTTTTTATGAAGGAAAGGGGTAGATGTAAATCAATAGATTAAATGATACATACATGAAGAGGTTGAGAGCCCGCTGTGACTGTGTGATCAAGTTTTTTAACAGGAAGTCATTAAGAATTCAACGAAATCGCAATGATTTGAAAAAAATGGCACGTGCACTATATACTGCGTATAATCACTAACACTTGTAGAAAGTGGTGATCCTGTAGCATTGGACACAACTTTAGAACCGAAAGTTGTTAGATAAAGTGTACAAGACAATACGAGATGACGAAATGGAGAACCCGAGTAGGCTAATGAGCTAAATATAATACTCTGGGTAGACAAAGTAGATAAGCATAGATACGAATCTGATTAAAAACCAGCATGAGTCAACACGTTTATAGGTTTAGGCTCATGTCAAAATAAAACTAAAATCTAAAGTTAATATAATTGAGATTAGAGCTCTGAATGCTGAATTGCCATTCCAGCTGGTTAGTAACTCATTTGTATCCAAAACAGCCAAAAATTACAAGAGAAGCATTGAAAGGAAAACTTTGGGCTACAATATTTAGCTACAGGACCTTACTATGTTGTTATCAACTCTATTATGTTCTACATAAATTCTAATCATTACAATATAATGATCCCTACAAGTACAAACATAGAAACACGACTTCTTTTAAACTTAATAGATGAATGAATAATACAGTCAGTGGTAATGATTAGTGGGCCAGCCAAAAAAAAAGTAGTAATGATATATAACAGGATATATGGTATTGTCAATTTAGTCAAACTTACATATTTAAGTATGATTATTAGGGTATTGTGAGAACTGAAAATAAGAGGGAAAATTACGGTGTATAGTGTTAAATGAAGAGATTTGCATACGTGGCATTTTGGACGCACATATTGTACAGTATATATATATATATATATATATATATATATATATATATATATATATATATATATATATATATATATATATATATATATATATATATATTATAATTACTAATTTTTTTAATTTATAAGACAAATGTCAAAACTAATTATACTAATTAATTAAACATCTTTATTTCAAATTCTAGGCCTCGGCTTCATTGCCTAAGACATCCTATTTCAAGATGGTGGATGTCTGGCTCTTATCAAGCATCTTCTTCATTTTTATTATTATTGTCATTCACACAATTATTGATAGAGTAAGAGAAATGGATAATAACTTAGGATGCAGGAGAATGGCTCCTTCCCCATCACCATCTGGGAATGTGCCAATGTCAAGCTTTTTCTCTAGGAAAGGAATGAGATCCAACAGTGTGGACAACGGACCGTTGGACAAGGGGGACTTTAGGAGGAACTCTATTGGGATATTGAGAAGAAACTCTATGGAAATGAGCCAGTACGACTTGCAGCTTCCGAGAGAGAGAGAGCAGTGTGATGTGGTAACTGTCAAGCCACTCCACGAGATCATCATTCTCGGAGCCCGAGTCTTTGTTTTTATATTACTGATTGTCTTCCATATTGTTTATTGGACTGTTGTTTTAGTTTAGTCTGAATGTTCGTGTGAAAAGCTACTTCTAGATCTAGTATTTGGCCACTCAGTCGTGAAAAATTGAGGAACGGTCAAATTTCAATAATGCTGAAAATAGTCATATATTACAACCATTCCTTCAATTAATTTTAGTAACAATTTGACTGAGGGTCACAAAACAAATAAGTTTCCTAATTTGTTACATTATTAATATAGATGGACTTTAATAGTTAAACGCCAATACCTACTCTTAAACCTTAACGTTAATGAACTACCTTCACACCAATCGACTCCAATTTACACATATTCCATGATCACTCGTGACGTGAATATTGTCAAAGAACCAGTAAACAAAGTTAAACCATAAATACAGTCAAGGTATGAAGCTGAACTTAAGACCTCAAAGGAAGAGTAAGGCGTTTCTTAATTAGAAGTCTTGAAATCAGACACCATCAAAAGTCAAATACAGTAATGTATATTTTGGTTTTGTATATATATGGCTGATGCTGGTTCCTTAAATTTAGTTAGACAACCCTCCCAGAGCTGTTGTCAATGATTGTATCACTAAATTTCACAGCAGTGTATTTGAGTGTGTAACTTAACAGACAAAAACAAATAAAATACTTTCTCTAGACATAACAGCTCACGTGTTATGAAATGGACTAATTACTGTAAACAAAAAGTACCCTAGAATAAAAATATAAATAATTCAATGTTTATTTGTCTCACTGTTAACTTCCCCATCCTGAATTCTCTTCCACGCAGGATAAAAGATAGTATTCAATTCAAATCAAGCAAATCAATCAAGATTCAAGCAAATCCTCAGAATAAAAATTACCAAAACTGAAGACATAAATCCATTTTTTTTTAGTTTATTTATCCCTATCGAAAATGTTTTGATAATGGCAGGAAACAACTTAGTTGTTTCTCCATTTTTTGATGTGGGGTTTGGTCATCATATTTTCAGTCACGTTATTGTGACTTATCATCAGCATTAACTATTATATTTAGAATAATCTAGAGTCGGGCATGAAGGGTGACGACACTGATAGCTTGGTATTCATATGTGACAACCAAAGTGTCACCGGAAGGTCATTCCAAGATTGTACTACAAGTTTATGTAAACTTTGCCTGTTATTACAAGTTCATTTTCACTTCAACCTGTTCAGCTAAAAGAATATTGGGGTTCAGATCCTCAACCCAAATTATTTACCAAATGTAACCTTATGGCCATGTCTGTAGTGGCTTCCATGAGGACAGGAAGCCGTAGCGCGTAGGCTTCCCAATTCTTCCTGAAGATTTGATCCAGCTGTATTTTGAGTTGCAGCTCTGTCTTCATATTTAATGTTAGCGCTGAGGGCATTACCCCTCTCGTTGAATGTGAGTTCCGGCGTTGTGGTAAACTGTTTCTAGTGCAATCATATTTTGTGTGTATGTGTGTGTGTGGGTGAGGTCTCCATGTTCCCATACTGTAGAACCAGACAGTTTACAAAGGATTTGTTCAACTGGATAACTACTATCTTCTCAGGGAAAAGGGTTTATGATTATTCCTAAGATTTTTTTAAGCCAGCTCCTACTTGCTGAGCAACTTTCAATGATTTATAAAAAATTCCTCCAAGGTTCTATTCTTATCAATATGTTGCATATTGTAATTTAATGTTTTCATTTGTTTATTTAAATGTTTTTGTTTTTAGTAATTATAGTAGAGTTAAAGAGTATCTTTTCTATTTTGTGAATAAAACTAAACCTGTTTTTTTATATTCGTGTCTCACCTAATATCATTATTCTTTATTTATGAAGAAATAGAATATAGTTCCAATAAAATTATTTATAAAAAAATATTAAATTAAGTTTATTTCAGTCTAATAATCCTACACAATGTTTTAGGCCAATTTTGGGTAAGATTATTACATATTAAAAAAGGATGAGATATATTGAAAATGTGGATTAGACAGTTAATAAAAGTAGTCATTCTTTAACAAGTAATTAAAACTACTGAATATATTACAGTTAGCATACTAATATTCCCATCTTGGTTATGACTATTTAGCTCTAGTTAGCTATTTGTAAAAGGTGATGATAATTAAATGATACATATATCCAGAATATCAATGGTATATCAACGAATTTTAAGAAGAACCTTACTAACCCAACAAAACCTAACATAGCCTAACCTAAGCTAATACATCCTAATCTCACGATATATATACGGTTTTGGTAATCAAAAACCGAGCTTTGTCGATCCATCTTGTATACGATTTGAGCATACACCGCCTACATAAATGCTCTTGGTAAATCACTATCCTCAAAATCTTCCACAAGTCAAAGCAGACAAGGACAGACTATTTAGCATGGCTCAGGGTTGCCAGATTCAAATTGCTAAAAGTAGCGAGCTGACGGTCTAAAAGTAGCGAATTTGTAATAAGAGTAGCCCAATTTTTTGTTTAGTGACTGATACGGGTTACAAAGTAATCTATTATGATATATAGAGTACATTAAGCGATTTTAATTGTTTTATTAACATTACCTCTGCATATATATATATATATATTTAACCAATATGATAATAGGATAACTTACCAATATTTACTGTTTGAAGCTTAATGGGTGTGGAGTCCTTCCACGTCTTTACAGTTGAAGATTACCAAGATCTTGATCTGCATCCACAACCTCGTTCTTGTATATTGCAGACTCATATTTAAGCATTGACATGAGTGGTTCAAATGACGAGCAACAAGTTACATTTTCTTAAAGATAAGTTTTGATTCTCAAGACTGATGTCAAAAGCTCAAGTCCCATTCCCATTCAAGATTTCTCAGTTTAGTTTTCACAGACGTTACTCTTGAAAATATCCGTTCAACCAGGGCATTACTGATTGGCAAGCTGTATATTTTCAACACAAACTCAGCGAAGTCAATCAGTATGGGATCGCTAGCAGTGTTCTTGACAGTTATTGTCTTGGTCTAAAATGACGATTCAGATGTCGGAATTTGTCCCTTACAAATGTTGGACTAGTCAATGGTTAACAGTAGGCGCCACTGACTTTCAATTTCACTAAGCTTAGATTGGTCAGCTAATACTAACGGAAGTTCCGAAAATGGTAGCCATGTAAGCTAAGGCATATGATAGGTAACAGATTTTTCACCTTTTTTTATAGTTTCAATATTACCTAGAATACGAGAAAGAAGCTATTTGCAAGCTTTCATTAAAAAATTATCGCATCTTTCTTGAACATTTTGAAACTTTTCCTGGGTTGTAAAATTGTTTTGTCTGTTAGTGGCCAGAAGTGTTGAAAATTCGTAACCAAAGTCAACTTTCTCCAGGGGCAGATACATAGAACTGTAGTCCAAATTAACATGAAGCTTTGCATGATGAGGGCGAAAGATTCTTCTGAGTATTCCAAGAGTGAAGTTTTCTAAGACAGTGTGAAGGCTATACTGATCTGCTTCATCTTTTGATAAAGTAAATTCATCCTTTCAAAATCATTTAGGATTGGTTTGAGACATGTGAAATATAGCTTATTGGAGGGATCAGCGTACATTGAAAATAGTTGCCTTGCAACATATTTATCACAAGAGGAAAAAGCTATTTGGTAATGAGTTGTTAGAGAACCCCATTGATCAAACGGCCGCTTTACACTACCGCTCCTTGCCAACCATTGTCTTCCTGACAAAGGTATTAACTGTAAGGGATCTTTCCCATCATTTATCAATCTGTAAATTTCTAGATAACTTTCTCCCCTTAATGAAACCCTTAAACTCCCCTTAATCTGTGGAACCAGGAGTAGCTTTTGGGATGAAGTATCATTAACAATTAAGGTTGGGAAATCTATTGCCCCTGGGGAGGATTACCTTGCCTTGCGGTTACTTTTTCTTTCAAAGGTTCCTAGGATCAACGTCCCCAGGGGCCGGTCTCTGACCAGGGCTCTCCTGCGGTAAGTGGTCTAGTCAATCAGGCTGTTGGACTCGGCTGTGATTTGTACAGATTATATTATTAAAGCATAAATAATCATCACTGAGTTTCTTAATATTAATAGCCCAAAGTAGCCCAACTTGTTTAAACTAGCCCAAAAAGTCGCAAGTAGCGAAATTAAAAATTTGGGAGCGTGGGGCTCTCAAAAGTAGCCCAATTCACTACTTGTAGCCCAATCTGGCAACCCTGTTCTGACTCTCTGCACCTATTTTCATTTTCAAATTACGAATTTTTATACCGAAAATATGTCAATTACTGAAAACGGCGATGGGTCATATTTTGCCCAAACCCCCCTGCAGTTTTCAAAATATCTGAAATGTCGGAAATTTGACTCCTGAGTGTGATTTTTGAGCCGAATTCTGACTCTCTGCACCTATTTTCGTTTTCAAATTACGACTTTTTATACCGAAAATATGCCAATTATTGAAAACGGCGATGGGTCATATTTTGCCCAAACCCCCCTGCAGTTTTCAAAATATCTGAAATGTCCGAAATTTTACTCCTGAGCGTGATTTTTGAACTGAATTCTGACTCTCTGCACCTATTTTCATTTTCAAATTACGAATTTTTATACCGAAAAAATGCCAATTACTGAAAACGGCGATGGGTCATATTTTGCCCAAACCCCCCTGCAGTTTTCAAAATATCTGAAATGTCGGAAATTTGATTCCTGCGCGTGATTTTTGAGCCGAATTCTGACTCTCTGCACCTATTTTCATTTTCAAATTACGACTTTTTATACCGAAAATATGCCAATTACTGAAAACGGCGATGGGTCATATTTTGCCCAAATCCCCCTGCAGTTTTCAAAACATCTGAAATGTCGGAAATTTGACTCCTGAGCGTGATTTTTGAGCCTAATTCTGACTCTCTGCACCTATTTTCATTTTCAAATTACGACTTTTTATACCGAAAATATGCCAATTATTGAAAACGGCGATGGGTCATATTTTGCCCAAACCCCCCTGCAGTTTTCAAAATATCTGAAATGTCCGAAATTTGACTCCTGAGCGTGATTTTTGAGCCGAATTCTGACTCTCTGCACCTATTTTCATTTTCAAATTACGACTTTTTATACCGAAAATATGCCAATTACTGAAAACGGTGATGGGTCATATTTTGCCCAAACCCCCCTGCAGTTTTCAAAATATCTGAAATGTCGGAAATTTGACTCCTGAGCGTGATTTTTGAGCCGAATTCTGACAGTCATGGCTGGAACAGGGGTACACACTGGAAACTGGACGCAGTGGACACCATTTACCGGAACGACCCACAGAGATATAAATCATTTTTTATAAATAAATAAATAAATAAATGTTTATTTAGGTAAGGTACATACATACAAGAAATTTTTACAAAGATTGGTTGACTTATAGGTAGAGCTAGTACATACAATGCCTAAAGCCACTATTACGCAAAGCGTTTCGGGCATGCTATCATTATAATGCTATCGGGCATTATCAAACATAACAGTGAACAAATAGATTACGTTAAGCGTTGAAGTGATGGAGGCAGACTCCTTACACAACACTATTATAAAGAGTTATATGTTTTGAACCGAGAACTATATGTACGGTCAACACAAAACATCCGCTAGACAGTGCTAAGATATCGATACTTGCGCCAGGCGGCTGCAGTTAATCAGAACTCCAATTGTAAACTATGTGAGCTTGAACTAAGACATACACTTCAACACAGTTTGTGAGTGCTCTGTTATCAATGGTTTTATACCAAATGGCATGATACTCTTGAGCTCTAGAACTACTTCATACACTTACGAATATTGGAAAATATTCTTGTTTGCTTGAGTAGGCTACTAAAAATGGCTGGCATCTCATGATTCCATGGATGATTAATCATCCTGTGAGATGGTGGATATTAGATAAACTCATAGCTGGCTCTTGATCTACACTCTGTAATTCCTCAAACATAATAGAGTAATCTACACTGCTTTGTGTATCTAAGTTTCGCAATAAAACAAAGCAAACACAGCACCCCAGTGTATAAAAGAACTGTTCATATCTTAATAGATTGATCAACCTTACCTAGAGCAATGTTGCAGTTATTGTTGGTTTAGGGGGCGACGACGACCTATGAGGATCTGAGGTCACGTCGCACGTACTACCACGTTGGTGTCGGTGACGGTACTGAGCCCTGAGTGACCAACCGCTACTCGGGAGGGAGGGTGGGAGGTCATCTAGACGCCATTTTGAAACTTGTGTGCCAATTTAATAACTGTATGAATTATAGGCCTTTCAATGACATCTTATAGGTATGAATTTTATATATTATCTAACAAACAAATTATTTAGGTTATTGCTTTAATTACGCATGTTAATTAAGATTTTTTTAAATCAGAGTCGATCGAGCTATTATTATTTTAGCTATTATTTTTAATAAAGACAATTACATATAAACATAGCGTGTAAAAATAGAGAACGATATATATATAAAAGAATTTTCTTAGCAATTTAATTTTATAACGAAATAAGACGAAAATTGCAACTTGAATGGCGAAGAGGATTTATATATTTTTATTTAATTAATAATCTTAGGAAGACAGCAATTAATGTGCTACTAACCTTTTTGATGCGAGAGTTTACAGAGTAAATGTCAAAACTAGCTATGTCCACCATGTAGCCTCATCTCACAGGATCTATGGTTATACATTTCTGTCATTTTAGGTCAGCCCAACGGTAACACAACTGAGAGAAATGTATTATAAGAGTTGATAATAAGGCACCCACCTTACAAATTGAACTGTTGGCTATTTCTGAAGCGCTCAAAATTATTGAAAATACTGCAGTAGAAAATTAAAACGATTTTGTAATGCATACTTCACTTAAAAAATATATCAGAATCAAATTGTTACGAATCCCCTCTCACACTAGACTGCAAGAAGACATGATAAAGTTGATGCTCTTGTCAAGCTTGCAGTAAATAGAAACAATGGTAAACATAATCTGGGGCTATCAAATATAATTTTAAATAAAGTCAAGAATTTTGAATAAAGTCCAGAGGCAATAACTCTTATATAAATGTGTCTGAAGAAAGGAGAAGAGTGGAAACAAGAGCTATATATATAGTCAGGTGTGGACAGTTCGAGGGTGGGCCAGTTGACATGGCCCTACTTTCTTGAATGGCCTGCTTGCATAAAATTCCCATTACCTTTTTTTTATAAATCTCTCTAGTTATTTTATTCAAAATGTTTATTCTGTTCCGATGCTGGTAAGTACACCATATTCACTACATGTATCGATCCTTAAATCGTATGTATTTAGCACTGATTACAAAAATACTTAATGAGCAGTTTGAAATAGGGTCCCGGTAGTACAGTCGGGTGCTTTCTCGACTCACAATCGAGAATTCCGGGCTCGAATCCCGGACGGGACAGAAATGGTTGGGCGCGTTTCCTGACACCTAATGCATCTGTTCATCCTAGCAGTAAACAGGTACCTAGGAGTTAGATAGCTTGTTGTGGGGCTGCTAAGGCTGCTTATGATAAGCCAGACATTGAACTGAACCTAGATATTCCAGTCTGTTGTCAAAACCGCACCATTTCAATATTTCAAGGGGTAGAAAACACTATAATGTAAAGAACTATGATGTGTTTAGAACGAGAACTATATGGGCGAGCAGCATAAAACATCATTCGGTGTCACATTGTATAAGTGCTAGAATTAGCTAGGCTAGGATATTGATCCACACGAATCTTCTAATTGTAGGTCGACATACTCTTCAACATTATATAATACCCTGTTATAAATGGCTTTATTCCAAAGGCATGAGACACTGAGTTTCGCAACTATTGCCTTCACGGTAATAGACTCGACTCACCTCTCGTATTTTTGAAGGTGTATCTAATGCCATATATATGACTAACCATCCACAGATGAGATAGACATACAGCAGAACTTATAGCTAGCTCTTGATCTATATTTTATAATCTCATATAGAATAGTATAGCAGCACACGTCTGTGTACCTCAGCTTGTATATGTACAAGCTAGATTAAGGACCTGCCCGAAATGCTGTGCGTACTAGTGGCTTTATAAGAATGTAAACACAATGCTATGTACTCTCACAAACCCAATGTACTTTCTTGTATATAAATAGATAAATGTAGTACTAGTCCGGCGCTCCCATGCAACCATTTAACGTTTTCTGCGTTAATTAAACGTTAAATCAACGTTGATAACGTTGATTCGGCGTGGAATTAATGTACGTTACACTTGGATACACTTCATTATAATTTCTCGGCTCAGATCCCATGTATAACAAACCAATCTGAGAATTGTAGATTTTAAATGAGCTTAGCTCTTGACGTGCGCCTGAACCTGTTAACATAAAACAGGACAAATCTTCAAGGGAGTATATATTTTTGTGTGAGGAGTAACACTAGGACAAACCACACAGTATAGTGTCAGTGATATCGCGGTTGTTAAACGATTTGGCGGGTCGTATTCCGGGGAACTTAGGATTAAGGACTTGCCCGAAACGTTATGCGTGCTTGTGGCTGTACAAGAATGTAAGAACTCTTCCTATAAATATAAATAAATGCAAAAATAAAAAGAGGTTTGTAGCGATGACGTTGGACGGCATGACTTTTTGGCACGTTTTGAGCCCCACTCGAACAAACCGGTTTATGGTGGTGCTTAATTTAGAAATTGATAAAGATATTTCGTTATAACTGTTTGCCAAATCATCATTAATATCTTGCGAGGATTATTTCAGATTCCTAGGTTTTCTTTTCCCCTGGAATATTTTGTGAGGAAGAGAGAGAGATATTGGCGACAAAATTGAGCAGACAAGACATGTCCTGGTGTTAAAACTATGACGTCATAGTGACGTCACCTCGTGCACGTGCTATATAGTAAACACACTTTCGTGTTTATTATTTTCTTCAGGTTAAGCCGCGTTAGGATAGGTTAGATTGCGTTGGGTTAAGTTAAATTTCGATAGGTTAGGTTTTAGCTTGAATAAGAGTATAAAAAAAAAATAGTAGCGATGACGTTGCCGGGTCAAACTTAACACAGCTCTTAGACTCAACTATCCGTCCGTCCTCAGGGAGGCAGGAGAAGCTGTCACTGAAGCTGCCAGGACAATCAACACTTTCCGGGCTCCTGTACAACTTAACTGTATAGCACACGCACAAAAAGAGTCGCACGGTATGTGTCTTGCCACCACCTATAACGCCAAGTTCTTAAGTTGTATATATATTTTCAGCGAGGGAGATAGTGAGCATTGACCGAGACCTCTTAACCATACCTGTCACCATCCAGCCGTGCTAGAATTGGTGCTAGCAACACACTCCATAAACTTGTAGTGCAGTATAAGCTAGTTTATATTGAACATAAAGTATGTTAGCTGTGAAATAAGAGTGATGTTGGGGTGGTGAGGACAAAGCAGGGGCCAAGGGTGGTGTTGACCTTGGGGAACACCTTGGCAAGGGTGGGTGTATACGTTTATAACACTACTAATGAGCTTTATTTTGTATGGTTTTGATTAATATAATAATTGACGTTTGCAACACATTGTTACAACATATTAAAGTAATGTAGTAGAATACAGTCCTATATATATATACAATTGTAAAAAGTTTCCTGCTTTCTGACTTATAACCATAATATAGCCTAACCTGACATAATTTGATATAATGAAATCTAATCTAATTATCTTATAATCTAATTTTGATTGTAACTCCAATCTCTTCCAACCTCTCCTATCTAACTTTCCTGGAAAATAAGTTGAATAAATCATCCCAAAGGATCCTATATCACCACAGTCTACATCCTCGGCACGCAACCGAGGGACTTTAGTGTTAATCCCTGGGCAGCACAGAAACGGTTAGGCACATTTACTTTCATCTCGTGCCTTTGTTCACCTAGAAGTAAAATATGTAATCAGGAATTAGGCAATTAGGTCATTAAGCCTAGGGAGACATTCAAAAGCCTAGGTACAGACCTCCTGTCTCTGATAATGGGAATTAATGAATTCAAAGCTACCAAAATCACTTGAAATCATGTAAATAATGTAAGGGCTTTAAATTATATCATTACATGTTACTATGATGTTGGTAATGAATATACAAAAGTGAAAAAACATTGTTTTACTCAGAAATAAGCTAACATTCTGTGTTACCTACTTTTTAACTTTTAAATATGTATTAAAATTAACTTATTTCCGAGTAAAATCATTTCTTCACATTAGACATTTATTGTTACTGACAATTCAGTAAGACACATGTGCACTGTATATTGCAGGCTTTATGCAGTGTACTTTTCTTGCCTGTGTATCTTTCCCCTCTTCTTGTTTCATTAGTATGTTCATTTGTGTAAATAAATTATTATTATCATTTCAATTGGCTTTTATTATATAATTTCAAGTGACTTTGGGCAAGTATGGATGCAAATGGAAAAAGTTTGACCTTCAAACCAGTTACAATGCATCATTTAGGTGAATAGTTTCGAGGGCGAGTAGGAAAACTTCCAATTCACTAACAAAAGTTAATGTGCAATTGAAATTACTTTAGTGCTGAAGTTTGGGGTGAATACAGAGTAAGAATAAGATCTGGTTTTATTCAGTTAGGTAAGTGTCACAGTTTTGGGGGGTCAAATGCTCAAGCATGCAATACTTTGTAGATCCTTTCAAGACATTTTTCAATGAATATTCTGAGAAAAAGGATAATTTATCCACTAGGAAGTTCATTTGATAAGTAAAACAATGTTTGCATTTGTTTATATTGATCTTGATATTCTCTCCATAGGTACTATGATGGATGAGTTATATGTTGCCTCATTTTTTTTTTTGTTAAATACCATTGCCTCTGTCCCATAACTTTTATTTTGAAGACTAGCCCATCACTTGCTCTTTTTTGCTGGAAAGAGCTTTAAGGTAAGGGGTGAAAGGGAGTAGAAAAAATTGGAAAGAAAGAGGTTAGTGATCTGTGGCCCAGTCCATTATGTGTTGATTGTGATACTGTGTAGCAGTGCTGAAGGAATTTGTATACAAACATTGCCATTTTTTATCCTTTTATTTGACTGCAACGCTTAGCAGTGACTATATTATTAATAAGTATTGTTAAGACATGGTCTCATGTTGGTCATACCTTATAATGCTTAACATAGGTTAGATCAGCATTTCTCAACTTTTGTAAAGGTTGAGAAACCTTTCTCAACCTTTGAAAGGTTGAGAAACCTTTCTCAACCCTTGAAATAATTCTGAGTCAAACTTAAATAAACACACACACAGATTTCATTGTCAACTTATCTGCTCTTGATACTGGTTAAATGAGAAAAATTAAATACAACATTATTAAAAATTACAATTGCTGTACATATGATTAGAATCAACCTATTGATATCTATTTCTTGCAGAAGCCCCTCGTTACCTTGGGGTTGCACAGAATCCAATTGAGAAATGCTGGGTTAGACCATTAATGTACAGGAAGGTATTCACTTGATTATGATTGGCCATTGTTCAAATAATGACATTGTTGAAGAATTTAGTACTTTTTTTTAATGTACCTGGTAGGTAAATATTAAAATTCAAATATTGTACTGTATAAAGTCTCAATTTAAAATTTTACCCTGGTATAGTTTGTTGAGAAACATAACTCATCTTATGAGTGGACATTCCACTATATGGAAGAAAAGTATAACCCACTGAATTGTTAATCCTGTCAATTTTACCCAGATTCAGCTGGGATGGACTTTTCTGTCTCAGCTAACAGACTGTCAAACAAGGAGAATAACATCTTAGAACACTAAAGCTAACAATGTCACATGGATGCAAAGGGGGTAGGGGGATTTTTTTTTTTTTTTTTAGGACTATATTTAACAAAGTTTTCCCACAATGTGGGATTTATTATACAACATTTCTAATACCTTTTAGGTGGGCAAAGTATCTCAAGCAGTGGGATAGACATCTGAGCATCTATATATTTAATTTTACAGAACATCTCTTTCAAGTCATAACTTTTGCAATAAACCTAATTTAACTATTTTTTAGTCCACCGAGACTCTAATTTTCCTTTTCAGCAATGCCATTCTCAACAAGGCAGTGTTGTAAATAAGCACCAGGGAGCTATTGAGTGGGATTTCCAAGAAATCAAGTGTTGAATTCAATGAAATCCCCCTTTTCTGGTAGGCTCTAGGTAGTTTCCTGTCTCAACCCTGTTTAACCTTTTTTATTTTTTTGAGGGGGGGGGGTGGAGGGTTCTACACAAGTAGCTTTTAAATAAGGCAAATAGCAGACTAAAAATGCCATCTCCCTCCCCCCTATTTTAATTTTTTTCAAGTAGTTTTGTTTTGCAAAGCATTTCTTTAGGAATTTCGTCAGTTTTGGGTAAATCTATGATCCTCAAGTTCCCCTCATCTTGTAGCAAGAGCCAGATTCTGATTTTGGCTCATGGTTGGTTAGCATGGGTTTGGGAGGCTTGTCATGATCCTTAAACTCGGGGATATCAGCACATAAGGATTGGGATGTTACCTAGGGTCTATCAGCAAATGTTATTTCATTCCATTCAACTCATAATTTATTTATAATTATGTATTGGTTGTTTAAAAGCATATGTAAATATTGTACTATGCAGTATATCTACTGTTATTTTTGTTAAGCTAATGATATGTTTAATATATAAAATTGCACATATACTGTACTGTGTTTTGTTTCTATACAGATGTTAATACTGTTTGTGGATAAAGTGGCACAGCCTGTATTACCAGACAACTTCATGCAAGAGTCCTAGCCACCTGTATCCCCTGTTGGCTTAACTTCACACCCAGGTGCTACAACAAACTACCCATCATATTGGTACTGTATTTGCATCGCAAAACTGCACTCCTCCTTCAGGTACACAGAAAGCATAACACTGTTCATTGATGTCTTCAATGAGAGCAAAAATGTCACCATTCCCAGCAGTGCGTCCAACAATAGAAAGGTGCAACCTCGTTAGAAACTCTGTTGTGCTGACATTCTCTGAAGCCTATAAGTACTTGTCTCTATTAAATGGTAGAAGTATTTATGATTATTGTTCACAAGAAAATGTTCCAGGATACATGAAACATGTTTTCTCGGTTGAGGAGAATAACTTGGTCATGGCAAATCCCCCAGAAAATCTGAATATAAAATTGTTGTATAAATTATTGAAATATGTAAGTGGTCTGGCTCCACGTGAGGATCCTAACTGGAAAACCGATACTGACACTCTAGAAAGTCTCATTAATTTTGCCAAAACTGAGATAGACACATTAAATGAGGCTGCTGCCCTTACAGATCAAGCTCTCAATGACAAACTTGACTATCTGAATAAGTGTCTTATAAGAATTCTTGACAAAGTTGGGGAGAAGAAACAGGTCGATGTTGAGAATATCAAGAGAAAGATATTAAAAAATCACTCACTGAAAACCATGAATCCATATGCTATTGTGTCCCATTCTTCAGACATACCTTATATGTACAAAATTTTAACCCAGCATATCATACATAGAGTTTTTGTAATGGTATTTATACAACTAAACTGCCTTAAAGGAAAGAGTCTTTATGAGTATCTTAAAGAAGACCAGAAAATACGTAGACCAATGGTATGCTTCACACACAGAGAAAAACATTTACTGAAAAATTCAAGCATACCACCAGAAAAAATGACCATCCATCTCTTACATAAACTTATTCCCCGTGTATGTGGTCTCTTGAACAGTAGAGAGTGGGCCATGTCTCAGAATACATTAGAACACTGTCTCTATAATATAAAGGAGGAACATGACAATTTATCAGTACTGGATGTGCAGGAATTTTCGAATAACTCTCACAAGTTGTACATAAATGTAGATAGAGTCATAAGTATGATTGCAGAAAAAACACAAAAAATTAAAAGAGATATTCTAAGAGAAATGCCAGATGAACCAATATGTATGGATGATTCTTTTCAGTCCTTGGTTGACAAGCAGACACAGTTTAGTCATCTCTCCTCTCCTGTAAATGAGTATCCTACTACATCCCCTCTTGTATCCAAACCATCTATTTTTCCTAACACAATTGAAGACCATGGTGTGTGTCTCAAACTTAACGAGACTGGGCCCTCCTTGCATACAGTCCAACAGTTAAGCACTTCTCCTACTGCAAAACGTACTTCCTCTTACATGACCCAAGAAGATGAATCCTCTTCCATTACATTTCAAAAGACTGGTTCTCTCTCTGAGGTCCATGAGCTAGGTACCTCTTCTCTCATACCTGAAGAGTCTGCCATCTTCACTCTCGCATCCAAGGAGGCTGGCACCTCCACTCTCACATCCAAGGACCCTGGCACCTCCACTCTCACACCCGAAGACCCTGGCACCTTCACTCTCATACCCGAGGTCCCTGCCACCTCCCCCATTTTGCCTGAGGGCCCTGGCACCTCCCCCCTCACACCTGGGGATTCTGGTACCTCTCCTCTCACACCTAAGGACCCTTGCACCTCCACTCTCGCACCCAAGGAGCCTGGTACCTCCGTTCACAAACCCAAGGAACCTGGCACCTCCAATCTCACACCCGAGAAGCCTGGCACATCCACATTCACACCCAAGGAACTTAACATGTCCACACAATCACCCAAGGAACTTGGCACCTCTACTTTCTCACCAAAGGAACCTGGTACATCTACTCTCACACCAAAGGAACCTGGTACCTCTACTCCCACACCGAAGAAACCTGGCACTTCTACTCTCACACCAAAGGACCCTTCTGTCTCCCTCTTTTCCAGTCAGCCTGTATATCCTAATAATGCTGTGACACCCGAGGAAGCTAATATTTTACATTTGTTTAAAGCATTTTGTCCAGGAGGATTAGCAGCTAAGGTCATGGCTGAAGTTTGCGATGCTCTTGCTGGAGATAATGTAATAAATCAGAAAATCAAAAGGACTTACTTCACTGCTGATGAGTTAAGTCGAGTGCAGGGAGATTTAAGTCAGTTAGACATTACTCTATTATATAAGCTTGTAAGGTTTGCATGTGGTTTGGCTTTACCTAATGATCCTGTTTGGATCACTCAAGGAGATACGCTTGAATACTATCTTGCCACTGTTAAAAACATGAGGAATGAATTAGCCCACAAGATAACTCGTATCACAGATAAGGAGCTAGAATCCAAAATTCATTACTTAGAATTCCTACTGGAAAACATTTTGCTTAAAACTGGTTCTTTATCAAACAGGAATTTTCAGGATAATATAAAAGTAATGAAAGATGAAATACAACCACTTGCAAGACCACCAGCTATCATCATTGACAAAGAAAGTTACATAAACAATATAAAACTGCTTCAAGAAACACTGGTGAACCAAATAATGGAAGATGCTGAAAAGGAATTGCATGACCAGTATAATCGTGCTGCTTGTAAAAATATGTCTCCAATAACATGGTGTTACATTGATCAACATAAAAATATGACCGTAGACAAATTGTTTACAGATTTAGAAATTGTAGATGCCATTGATGTTAAAATTGGAAGCACATTTTCCTTGACAGATAAAGTGTTTCCAGTATTACTACAACAGAATGAAAAAATGGGATCTGGAGTAGTCATTGTACAAGGTGTTGCAGGGGCAGGAAAAACATCCCTGTGCAAGTTTCTCATTCATCGTTGGTCAACTGAAAAAAGTGATGCAAGTCTTAAAGCTGTTGATTTGTTAATTTATATACAATGCCGATATGTTAACACAGCCTCTGTGTCATCCTACTTGAAAATAATTTTGCCTAACACATTTAAACATATTGATAAGGATGATATTATTCCTTTGATGCAAGGGTCACAGGTATTGTTTTTAGTGGATGGTTATGATGACGCTCGCACCGAGGCCAAGGACCTTTTAGAAGATATTCTCATCTCTCTACCTGAGAGTAAAACCATAATTACGTCAAGGCCACAGTGGGTACCAAATCTTAAGTCTAAAGTCAATCAAATTGCCTCATGTTGCATGGTTCTCAGTTTGGTTGGATTTACTAATGACAAACGAGATGAATTTATTCAAAAGCTGTTTTGTGTCACATTGGGGACACATCAACAGCAAAAGTGTAACCAGTTTTTGGCTTACTTAAATGAACTAGGAGAACAGCTTGAAGCACTTACACAAGTGCCACTGACATTAACCCTATTGGCTATGTTATGGATAGATGACTCAAAGAATGCTATGGAAGCAAAAACCATTACACAGCTCTACCGAAAACTTACAGATTTTATGCTAAAGAGGCTTGGATCTCAGCTGAACATATCTGATCAAGATAAATGTCGGGATTGGATGCTAGCTCTGGGAGAGATAGCATGGGCCAATCTTAAAAAAAATCAACATTATTTAAGTGATAGAGATCTAACAAAACTTAAAAGAAAGGGTAGATCTTTAGGTGTTGATGCTAAGGAAGCAATTTCATCTTTATTACATTGTGATACTGAACTTAGCCTTACCGACTATTCTGAGGTCTGGTCATTTACCCACAACTGTCAACAAGAATTTATTGCAGCTGAATTTCTTGCTGAAAGTGTGATAATTGATGATGAGTCACTCAAAAATATTCTAGGATTCCATGGAGGTGATGGAGAAGAAAAGGAGCTACAGAGATTAATTCAAGTAATAGAATTTATAGCTGGTTTGCTATCGATGGAAAATGAATTGACTAAAGAAAGAGCTAGTGAAATTTTTCAGATAGCATTAGTGCAGGCTCCATGGTCCTTTGCTGCAGTGAGAAGAATAAGTAATGATATATTAAAGAGCAATGTAGAAGTTCAAGAAGTTCTTAAAAATATGTTTGCAGGACAAGAAATAGCAGATTTCCTTGATGAATATGATCCACAGAGTGTAAAATGGGTTCTTGAGAGCACATCTTTAAGTATTCCTTCTCGTATTCGACTAAGAAACTCTGTTACTGATGTACTCAAGATGGAACCTTTGTTGAATCTGTTGATTAGGGAATCTTGTCATGCTGAAATCATAATTGCCATTGATTATGCCAGAAGTACTAGCAAGGCAATTGAATTTGTTAAGAATCTTGATAAACCATCAGTGGCAGTCATTTTGCTGACCTGGAACTCTTACACGCTCAATGAACTTGTTAAAAATTGGCCATGGTCACTTTCCTTGCATTTGTCATTTCCTTTTGAGGTTTTTCCCCTCTTGTGGTGGGAATTAGTCATTTGTTTGGTGAAGCTTAACTTAACTGGTGTTACTCTTGTTTATAACGATAGCAACCCTGACACTGCCAAGTTGGTTGAGGAGGGTGCACATACTCTGAACATAACCTGCAAGACTGATGCATCATTAGATGCTGGTGATATTATTATTATTTCAAGTTGATAACAAAATATCTTCCCTCAGAGAGCTTCCTTAGTGAAGACTGTGTGACATGCAAAATTTGCTGTTTTATTAAACTAGGTATTTAAAGGCCAAATACAATACAAATTTATTTCTTATAAATTTCAGTACATAACAAAAAACCAGCCATAATGAAACGTCATTTTCTGGGTGAGTCCCGGAGGCTCCCTGGAGCTATCCAGGCTGAATGGATATGTATAACTTTCTGGCATCAGTCAATGTGCTTGGAGTTCTTGCCTACCAGTTCTTACCGACTGGAGTTCTTACTGACCGGCAGGGAGCCGTTCAGCCGAGCGGACAGCACGCTGGACTTGTGATCCTGTGGTCCTGGGTTCGATCCCAGGCGCCGGCGAGAAACAATGGGCAGAGTTTCTTTCACCCTATGCCCCTGTTATCTAGCAGTAAAATAGGTACCTGAGTGTTAGTCAGCTGTCAGGGGCTGCTTCCTGGGGGTGGAGGCCTGGTCGAGGCCTGGGCCGCGGGAACACTAAAAAGCCCCGAAATCATCTGAAGATAACCAATCAAAAATTGAGAAATAGCTCCTGGCCAACAGAGTCGCCAGACTGTACAATCACACTTGCAGAGTGGGTACACGACTGAGTCACAAAACAGCCTAGTCGTGTAATATACCAAGAGCATCATTAGCAGAGTATGTCCAGAGTACCGTGCCCATTAGGAGAAGGCGAGGTGCTGTACAGAGGTAGAAGTGGCGCCACACTGAGCCACCCCACACCCGTAAGCAGAGAAAAACTCAGTAATTACCCACATATAAAATCCAAAACACCCCCAGTATCTAAGAGGCTATGACTGGAGAGAGAAGATGAGCGAGAACGGCGTATATTTCGCAATAAAGGACACGGGACACCAACACGTGTGTACACCGCCCAGAAACAAAACGATCACCTCGGTCCGAACTGCACCCCCTGTCTTCTAGGGAGGGCGCCAGCAAAGTGTATCTAACGAATATGAGGAAAGTCGAGACAGGAAGGAGGGTTGATGTGAATACAAAATAATGCGAAACAGAATCGAAAGAAGACAGAGTACGGATGAGGACCAACGAGTCTGAGAAAGGACTGGAGGGAAGCCTCACAGGAAGTCAACAGAAGTTCCAATAATATTGTACGTATCGAAGAGTTTCGCGAACCTTCAAGAATCGTGAGAAGCAAGTACAAATTCATGGAGGCACAGACAGGCCCAATGGCACCCTTAACCAAAGGTCATGCAGGGATCCCGTTATATGTCCAAGAGAAAAAAGTTACGAAAGCGATGAAAAGCATCTACAGGAATGACGGAACCGACAGACCCAAAGGACACGAAACTGAATCCGGGGAGGGGCAGACCCGAACCAACTCGGATGCAGAGGGGAAAGGAAAACCCCACACTTAGGTACTGCAAGCCGCGCTCCTAGGGCACAAAAACCCAAGTGGGGCAAACGGGGCCAAGGCCCCCAGGCAACCCCTCCCCAACGGCAGGACCCGGGGCCGAGCCATTCCCTCAAAGCCCCGGCCTCACAAGAAAAAGCCAGGGCAGCCGTAAAAACACCAAGGAAGGGAGCCCCAACTCCAAAACCCGCTGACGGTTCAGAGCTGGAAGCAAGGGGGGAGGAAAGTATGCACAACAGAAGGGACGGACGGAACCAGAGCCGAAGCGATTCTCTCCCCCAAATCCGGACCCTTATGACCAAAACAGGGCAGTTTCGGGGCCGCAACCAACCAAGCATGCAATGCAGCAGTTGCCTGCACCCACATATGTTAAGTAGCATGGGTGAACTGGAGCATGTACAGACAATAACGTCGCACGACTCCGGGTCAAAAGAATCACTGACCCAACAGACAGCATATCAGAGGCACACCTGTGAATGTTGCCCCGAGACAAGGGGACAGAGCAACCTTCAAACTAGCAAGAAGCAAGAAGGGCTCAAGGGTCTCATCCACTGTACCACAGAGTCCCCGCAGGGGTTTCCCAGGGCCCTTAGCCATTTTAACACACTAAGGGAAGCCCAAGCTGGGTACTGCAAACCGGCACCCAAGTCTACCAAACAAACTTCTAAAAGCTGAACCCCTGGGACGTGTCCACTCACCAACCTGTCCTCTTAAAAATAACGTCGCTTTTGGCTGTTTGCCTGTATGGCCGAAAGTGGACGTAATTTGAAAATGAAAAAAAAATGAAAATAAATTTGGGATTTTTTTTAACAACAGTAAGTTTGTTTAAAAACAGTAAGTAAGTTAAAAAAAAACAGTCCTGTGGTAGGTTAGGTGGGCAGGAAATTCTCATAAAGTTTCAAGACATCATGAAAAACGTTAATTGAAAGTTTCCTCTCCTAACCTTACCAAGTAAGCAGGACAACTCAAACAGAAAACAGAACAGTACGTCACTTTTGTGAGTTGATTTCATTTCAAATTATGTCCACTTTTGGCCACAGTACACATACGAGTGAAAAGTGATGTTATATTTAAGAGGACGGGTTGCACTCATGAGGGCCTAGCAGGAGATACCACCAACACACAAGAAAACACACCAACCCCAATAACAGAGAGTGGGAGGAAAAAGTAGGACCCCCCCACCAGGCAGGAAAAACAAAAACAAAAGAAAAAACAGCCGGCCGCTATAATTGGTGATAACTAGCTGTGTAGTACCCTGCACCCCTACCAGTGACGAAAACTACCTCCTACCCAGAGATAAACAAGGGCAACAAAACCCCAGCTGACTCCAATGTTGGCCAAGTACCAAGCAGTAAAAGACACAGCAGAGGCAGATCCCAAAGAGACTTGTGGAGGAAGGCCCCAAGCCCCAAGGGCAATACTTACAGGGCACCTAGGGAAGGGAAGGGAACCCTAGGCGCATGCAGCCCGAGTACCGTGGAATATTACTCCAGGCTCACACACCACCTGTAGAGACAGCCTACACCACAAGGCACAGAACTGAAACAAAACAGGAGCCAGAGGCACACGACTTCTCCAGAATCGCATCAGCCAAGTACTGATGATTGGATCGCCAGTGTGGCGGTCTGGGGCTCCCCCTTCCCTCTCCCGGGGAGGAGGGGGGTGCACAGACGGCGGCGCAGCGACGTGATGACGTCATGCTAGTTTGCTAATTTTGTTTGGGGAGTTCTGTCCATTCGTTCGGCTTTCAGTAGCAATATTTTCACCAGAATAGGGGTTTGTTTTGGGGACACTACCTTTCTGGGTGCCTGTCCCGGTCGATGGCAGACACAGAATGCTCCCAACCACAGGGGAGTTTCTCTAGGCCATTGCTCCTTGTGCCTTTCTGAGGGGGGCCAGGTTCTGGCTCGTGGTTTTTGGTAGGCAAGAACTCCAAGCACATTGACTGATGCCAGAAAGTTATACATATCCATTCAGCCTGCATAGCTCCGGGAAGCCGACGGGGCTCCTCCCAGAAAAATCTTGTTTAATGATTAGCATTAGTTTGTGTCAAACACTAAATATTTATTTTTATCCCCAAGTTGTTTAAATTTGTTCTATTCATGTAAAATTCAGTCCATGTATAATGCAGTGAACATTTTACATGACAGCCACATTAACACTTCATCAATTTTGAAATTGTTATCAGACAACAAATGTATTTATTGATGACTAAGAAATCAAAATAAAGTTCATGTATTCTTTTCCTGTTATATACATTAATGATCATTAAATTGCTGCTTTGCTTAGTAAGGTACATAATTACAAATCAGGACTCCCAGGTACAGTACCTGTTCATTGCTAGGTGAAGAGAGGCATCAAATGTAAAAGTTGTGCCCAAGTGCCTTGCCATGCTTGGCCATCTAACTCGGGGCCAATCGGTTATGAGCCGACTGCACAGCCACGAGAGATGAAACTTGACAAAAATTTATTTTTCAAAATTGCCATAATAACTTTTAATGAAATAGCTTATAAAAAGAAATATAGAGGGTGGTCCTTGATAGAAAGCCATTACCTGAGGACACAACAAAAACATTGTCAAATGAACTTTTGCTATGCTGGTCTTTTGATAATTACTTACTATACCATACTGACATTTTCAGAATTGCATTAATCTACATCACATGTGGTGATGTAGATTAATCTACATCACATTAGTCTACATTAATGCATTGGCTATATCACATGCGGTGGTTGGTAACGTGTCATTTAAATGTAAAAAGTGTCTCATTGCTCAGAGCAGTAGAAATAATGCAGTTTTCTATTGTTTTATGATCAGTAAAGTTTTCTCCAAAATGGTCACATTTTGGAGAAATGTCCAAGCATTTTCGATGTCCAATAATATGACATTAAACATCACATTAAATCATTAAACTCAGGCATAATTTAATGATGTTGCCATATAACTTTTAAAGGAGAAATTGAAAGCTGAACAGAGGGGCAAAGATTTCCTACAGTATTTGATTGATATTATTGTAAAAGTATATATATACCAGTTGTGTATATATATTAATAACCATATTTGTTTTGAATTGTTTGTTAATACTGTACTTGGTTTGTTCTCAGTTTAAGGGAAACTCTCATTTGTGCATCCAGAACTTTTGATGTTTGTATATTGGTTTACTGTCCCCAAGTGTATTGTACTCGAATCTCATGTGCATACAAAATATATTTCTGAATATATAATATTTGTCTGTGTTTGATTCATCATAATGTCTATACTGTATTTAAGATATCGTTTACATTTGCACTTTAAGCTTTTATTTCTAAACTATGTCACTCGGCTGTTTCCGTATGCAAGGTCTTTCTGGTATGCTGGACATCAGCATAAACAGTCTGGATTGGTTGATATTCTGCTCAAGTGCAATAATGTCAAATGTCATATCATACTTGTTTAAGGGAGATGCTGGAAATAATCTTTTCAGTACATCCCTAAATGGTTAATTCTATATAACTGAAGCATTTCAAGCACTACTTTGCAACAATAAGAATTGCCAACCAGTGCTCTTCCCTAGATTCAACATTCAGTTCAGGTACACTTGGAGGATCACCTCCGTTTATTAAATGTGGAGTTCTAATGAAGGTCTACTGCCATCTTTCAAATAGAATGTGGTTTGGTAGGTCTTTCAGTAGTTTCTTGCTCTGTCAATCTTTTGGTCCTTCACTGCTTGGCAGCTCATTTCTAACACCATTGTTTCCTGCTCTGGCTTTGCTCTAGAATTCTCTAGTTGTTTTCCGTCATGAATTATCTGTTTATGAATCTTGATAAGGTTTTCTTAATCATCTGTTCTTCCATTGGTCTATTAGATCTGACCTGGTTTCTGATTAGGGTGTTGGAGCTTTGTGTTCTTAAATCTATTTTTATGTGGGGAGACGGCTCTTTCCTTCATTAACAGTCTCCGTGGTGTAGTGGTAAGACACTCGCCTGGCGTTCCGCGAGCGCTATGTCATGGGTTCGTATCCTGGCCGGGGAGGATTTACTGGGCGCAATTCCTTAACTGTAGCCTCTGTTTAACGCAACAGTAAAATGTGTACTTGGATGAAAAAACGATTCTTCGCGGCAGGGGATCGTATTCCAAGGACCTGCCCGAAACGCTACTCGTACTAGTGGCTGTACAAGAATGTAACAACTCTTGTATATATCTCAAAAAAAAAAAAAAAAAAAAATTAGAGTTTTTGGCAACGGGGCTTTGGGAGGCTTCCTTTCTCTAGAGCTCTATCTGGTTCCATTCTGCAGCACAAGTGAGTCAAACCCCTTTATATGTTTATTGTAGTCAATCACCTTTCAGTTTGATATGCCTTTGGAAGAAACTGAGTGATACAGCTCAGAAATTTGACACTTGACCAAAAGGAAAATGATCCTCAGCTGGTCAAAACTTTAAACATCTATGCCATTACCCACTTTTCTAAGTACAACACGAAAGCTCCTTCTGAACAGGACACTTAGTTGCTCCTATTCCCCCTTTGTATCCTTGCTTCAATTGTTCTTTCTTGGTTCTTCATGTCAGGTAGAATGGGATCTAGCTCCAGTCAGAGTACCCTGTCTATACATCAGGCAAGCCATTGGTTAGCTGAAGAGCTACTCGAGTTACATGGAATGAGCCTCCTGGAGGTCATTCCAGGCTAGACTAAGTATTCCCCAGCATCTTCCATACACCAGTATGATATGGCAGTCATTTCCCCAGATTACGTATTGTACTGTACTGCAAATTTTGGAAGCACTGTTCTTGGAGGAATATTCAAACAAAGCAGCCATGTGTTTCCTCCACCCAGTGTGACAGTTTTAATGATCATGTGTCAAAATGGTTCAATTCTTTTGAACATTTCTCTGCAATATAACCATATGAGCTTAGTGCCTTATGATAATTACTTACTTGAACCTTCCTCAGTTGAAAAGTTTATCAGTGAGCTTATTTGTAATATCCAGAATTTTATAAAATCACTTGATAAATTTGATTATAAAATCAATATCTATAAATCCAACATTATGTTTGTAACTCATCTTCTATGTATGTCTCCGTAACTCATCTTCTATGTATGTCTCCGTAACTCATCTTCTATGTATAGCAGTCTCCGTGGCGTAGTAGTTAAGACGCTCGCCTGGCATTTTGCGAGTGCATTGTCCTGGGTTCACATCTTTACTGGGCAATCTTTACAATCTTTACAATCCTTAACTGTAGCCTCTGTTTAACTCGACAGTAAAATGGGTGCTTGGTGGTTAAACGATTCTTTGCAGGGGTCGTATTCCAGGGAACATAGGATTAAGGACTTGCCCAAAATGCTACGTGTACTAGTGGCTGTACAAGAATGTAACATCATTTGTATATATCAATAAAAAAAATTTACTTTTACCTGAATAAACATTTGAATTTGAAATTGGATAAGTTGCCAAGAGCATACAATGTAAATTTCACTAACATTAAACATCAATGACAACTACATACACTAAAATGTACCACTGTAGTAGCAGACTTGATTTCAATTTCTTTCTTTATTATGCACCCCATACCCATCCTGTGGGCAGTGGTGTAAAGGGTTACAGACACACACACTCGGTTCAGGACCTGAACCCTCTAGTTCGTTTAGCTAAGCAAATAACAATCTTTTGACGCTAATTACACAAT